ATAAAAATATATTATTTCATTTCATTCAAATATGAAATATAATATATATATATATATATATATATATAATAACTTATAAAAAATTTTGAAAAACGTAAGTGTTTCTCCTTTATCTTTTTCATTATCATATGATCATATGCATATCACATATATACAAGAGGTATTAACCATTCTTACCCTTATCTCTCCTAAAAATCACTACAACTAATATCTATACATAGTATGCCTATACCCAACTATATTAGACTTAACAATGGAATCAGACTTTCTTACTATAAGTGGCGACACCCAATAAATCAGAGGAGGCATTGATAACCCATTTTAGTTGTTGGTCCAATAGGTGCATTAGGCATGAAAGTGATCAAGTTGATTTGGTAGGGTCAAGCCACTTAGATTACTCAAGTGTATTAGGAGATTTTCATAAGTGAATGTGTGATGTTGCATTAGATGTGATGTTTGCATATGTTGTCGTGTGAGTTGATAATGTTCATATACATGATGTGAATACCTTGATATATGATATGATTGTGGTAAATATTAGATTGACTTGGGTGCTTAGCTTTTAAACATGTTGATTGTTGTGTGTTGTAAACCATGTGACATGTTTTGATTGGTTTGCATATTGGGAGTAGTATAGATGTTTTTTTTTTCTATACATGCATATTTTTGAAATCTAGTTTACTCTTACGTATTTTTCTTATCGTTGGAATTGTAATAATGATCATAATTTTCATAAGAGTAAGATAAAATTAGTTGGAGGCAAATAATGGCTAATTTGGTGAGGTCATGCTAATGTGTGATTTTGTTGTGTATGTTTGATTACTCGGATGTAACCAGTTTGTATAGATATTGTTCAACCGATAATTAAGATTTTTATTTCACAATTGATGGATTACTCACTCTCTCTCTCTCTCTGTCTATCTCTCTCTCTCTTCTCTCTCTCTCTCTGTCTATCTCTCTCTCTCTCTTCTCTCTCTCTCTCTCTCTCTATATATATATATAAAGGTGATGTAAATATATTAATCTTAGATAATTGTAATTACCTTTTACTACTAGTTGCTTGATTCCATTAAATGTAGAGATTACAACAAGTCAATATAAAATCCATAATAATTCATATAAAATATCTTACTTACTTACATATAAAATTTAATAAATATAAAGTCATATATTTTGATATATATATATATATATAATTTTTCTTATTTACGTTATAAAAAAATATTAAAACATTTTTTATTCTAATAGTTTCGTTACTCCTTTATTTTTATAAAATATTATTTCATTATTAATATATTAATTTTCCAATAATTAGCGAGAATGTGATTTAATTAATATAACATTTTAAATGTAATATTTGAGGAGTTTTTTAAAGGGAAAAGTTACTCATGTTTAGAGGGGAGAAGGATATATATTTTTGTTTATTATTTATTTATAGATTAGGGTATGTGGAAGGAAATGGAGGGAGAGAAAAACAAAGTTAATCCAAAACATCATGACAACACGGTTATTATTGCTTCCAAATTTGTAGCAATAAACTTTTAATGTTCAACAAAACCGTTATTGCAAAAGGGACGAAGACCACTCCATGTAGTTGGTGGGTAAATGCAGCATCAACATAAACCTCATTGTGTAAGGTTAACTGAAATAGGACTCCTGACACGTTGGTGCCTGCCATCACTCCATGTCAACCACCCGAATACGTAATCACTTGTGTTCATACTTTGCGGCTTCAATGTCATTGTAACTCTGAACTCCTTTTTTTCACCCTTTTCCTTGAAGATCAATTCCCTAGGATCAACCGAAACTCGAACTTGTGGTGGTGCCTTGATGTGCACCTTGTACGTTCTTGGGGACCCAACATTGGTAACAGTTCGAGTGATATTCATAGAATGTCCAGGGCCAAATTTTGGAATTGTGATTGCCGGATAATTGAAATCTGCAATATTGAACGACTTTGGACAAGTGTAAGGCTTGCCGTAGAACATTTTCAGCTGTGAACTGTTGTAGCCACGACCACACAAAAAGTTCAAATAATCAGTAATATTCAAGTCATATACAAGTCCAGGGTTCATAGCACGATTAGGTTGAATGTGCCCTGCACCATAGTCAAATGGAGTTGCCTTGTTCAATGATTCATCCAGGATTGGCTTTCTAGAGTTATCTAGTGTGGTTGCTGCAAAATGCATGAACCTTTTTAATTAGAGTGTAAAAATAGTTGAATGCCAAATAATTCATATAGCTATGTCAAGTGTAAAGGATGTACTTTATACATTACCTGAGGTAATGATTGCTGACTTAATGGCAGCTGGACTCCAATCAGGATGAAGGGCTTTGAGAAGCCCAGCAAGGCCAGCGACATGAGGACATGACATTGAAGTTCCAGACAAAGTAAAGAAAGGCGTTCTTCGTTTGTCAGAATCTAGCTCTGTGAGAGATACAGCTTCACTATAAGCAGCAATGATGTTGACTCCTGGTGCAGTCACATCAGGCTGAAACACAATATAAATTAATGTTCACCTCATATTTAAGTCCTAAAGGGTGAATGGCGTGAATCAAATTTAATAATTAAACCTTGAGGATTGCTGGTTCAAAATGATTTGGACCCTTTGATGAAAATGAAGCCACATATGGAGCTGGCTTTACTCCTAATTCTGTTTTCACCCTTGAAATGTATGCCACAGGAGACCTGTTATTATGAAAAGGGCCAAGAGGAAATCAAAATTAAACTCGCCAAAAACTTAACAAGGAGCCTGAAGCGTGAGGAAGTAAGTTACTTTGTAGTTCTGATGTAATTATAAATGTCATTGCCATCCTCAAAGTTAACATTTGAAGCTGGAAGCACATGGGGTTGGGGGGAAATTTCCTTCCCTGAGTACTTGTCATTAGCCAAAATCATTCCAGCTGCGCCTACACTGGCAGCTTCCACCCCCTCATCAATTGTAAAACCATTGCTTAAACAGACCAATATTTTCCCCTTCACCTTCTCAGGATCAAGAGTTCCTTTCCTGCATAAAAGTCTGCAAGAATGTACTAAATTACCAGAGAATCCCCAATATAAAGTCAATTTAGATGGTCTAAATGGTATGAGTATTCTTACGCTTCTATAATAGATGCATTATAAGCTTTGGCATCAATAGCACTGATCAACGGGTACATCTTATTAGATGGTAACGCATACTCTGAAAGACTAGCTCCCTAACAATAACAGAAAAAACAAAAAACTATTAGTGACGTGTTTAGATATAACAAGAAAGACAATTGGGGTTGTATAACTATAAACATATACCTTGAGAACTTTCTTGTTACCAAGTGTAACATAACTAACGAAGTCTCTGTCAGTTGTGCTTGCAGCAACAGTGAGCGTCCATGGTTCATTGCTGGATGTAGTTGAAGGATAAGGCCCTTCATTTCCTGCAGAAACCACTACTATTACGCCGTTAGCAACTGCATGGAAAGACCCTATGGATATACTGTTTTGGGAATATTCTGAGGGTACAGATGAACCCAAAGACACCGAAAGCACATCAACACCGTCACTTATGGCAGTATCAAAAGCAGCCAATATGTCTGCATCAAAACATCCACCACCGAACAATACAGACTGTGGCCAACACACCTTATAGGTTGCAACTCGAGCTTTTGGTGATCCACCACTCGCAGTTCCATTGCCAAAGCCAAAAACACTAGCTCCATGGACAAAGTTACCACCAGCTGTTGATAAAGTGTGTGAACCATGACCTTCATAGTCACGTGCACTCAAGATCGAATCATTCAGTTTTTGACCCAATTTTGCCTCGTAACCTTTGTAAAAATATCTTGCTCCAATAAGCTTCCTAAATATAGTACAAACTCAAGTTAATGGAACTAATATTGATGGGATAGTACCATGATAGCATATTTTTTTGTGTATGAGATGGGATAGTTTGGAGAAATTAGCGAGAGTAAAAATAATGAACCTGTTGCAGTGGAATTTATCTCGAGTGTTCTTATTCTTTTGACAGATTCCTCGCCACCGTTTTGGGATGGGTCCTATCCCTTCATCACTAAAACTCTTGGATTCTGGCCAAACACCTGTGTCTATATTTGCAATTATGATATCTTCACCCAATGTCTTCCGCCATACTGAGTCATGCGAAAATTCACCATTTCTCTCTAACCCAAGGAAATTCCATGAGTGTGTTGTGTGCAATTTGTGTTCTTTGTTTAGGAAAACTGATATTACACTCGGATGCTCTACATGCAAAAAAAAAAAAAAAAAAATAACAGTACAAGCTAGGTGTTAGTAGCTCCGAGCTAGGTATTGGTAGCTCCAAACTAGGTGTTGGAAACTTCAAGCTTGGTGTCTGTTAGTTATGAGCTAGGTGTTTGGTAGCTTCGAGTTAGGTGATGGTAGCTTCAAGTTAGGTGTTAGTAGCTCTAAACTAAAAGTTTGGTAACTTCGAGTTATGTGTTAGTAGTATTGAGCTAGTTGTTGGTAGCTCTAAGCTAGGTGTGTGGTGGCTTTGAGCTAGCTATTGATGGTTTTAAGCTAGTTATTGGTAGCCTTGTGGTGCTTGAAGCGCATGTTTCCCCTTTTTACTTATAATCTTCTTCACATATCTTATTATGTTCGTTGTTTTACATGGTGTATGATGATGAATGAAGCTAAAGCATTATATATTGATTTATGATGATATATATAATGGTGATCTAAGTTGTTTAGGCATGTGGTGTGCAATATATGTCTTTGTTGAGATACATAAAAATTATAAGAAAGAAAAATGTTTACTAAATTTTCATATCCTTTGTGTGAATATTAATTGTGGCGTCCTAAAAGGCCTAGTTGAAAACCTTTCAGTGAGTGAGTTAACTCCTGAATGGTAACCTATTTTAAACATGTCTTCTCTATGGTTTATGTGAAACAATATTGAGGTTTGGTTGACCCATATTATGAATTGAACATGGGTGTGATAGTTGTATCTATTACATATGTATGTTGATATATGTTGCTAGTTCTTTATACATTAATTTGAGATATTGTATATTGATAATTTAACCATTGATAATTGAATTGTTGAATATGATGATAGTTCTATGTATATTGATTTGAGATAATATATATAGATATTTGAATTGTTGATGAGCATTAGTATGTTATATTCAATTGGTGTGATTTGATCTACACAGGCACTAACTTGGGGTAATGCATATAGATGATGTTTGTATGGTTAAATTGTTAAGCATTTGTATGTTGTATTTGAGTTAAATGTTGAGCATTGGTATGCTATTCTTGGTTGAGCTATCAAGCATTGGTATGCTATATATATGATTGGTGCGATTTAATCTCTATATGCATTTTTGAGGTAATGCGTACCTAGATGATATATATTGAGGTGTTGATGCTGAAAATGTTATAGGCATTAAACATGTTGTAACTTAGGACTAAAGGAAAAAGTGTTGTTTTGAAAGTTGAAGATCTCATATATGAAATCTTGTTATGGTGCTTTGAGAGCACAGTTGTTAAAAACCCTCCTTGAGTAAGTGTGAAACTCCTGGAGTGAATTTTGTTGAGTCTCTTTTAGATCCTTTGTCAATTAGAGTAAAGTATCAAGTTGAGGACTACCATTTTTAATTGATTGCTGAAAAGGTTGTGTGGTACCTTGAAGATAGTTAGTGGGTTAACTCCATAAGTGACTTGGTAATACATGTCAAGGTTGTGGTATGCCTATACCCAACTATATTAGACTTAACAATGGAATCAGACTTTCTTACTATAAGTGGCGACACCCAATAAATCAGAGGAGGCATTGATAACCCATTTTAGTTGTTGGTCCAATAGGTGCATTAGGCATGAAAGTGATCAAGTTGATTTGGCGAGTCCAACCATCGTTGCGATTGCCAAGGTCCGTTTCGGCAGGTGGCGACACAAGGCTAACAAAATAATCCCTAAATTAAAGGATATAATCTGAAAGTGATTAAAAACAAATCAATTAGATTGATTCCTATTTTCTTTACCCCCTCAAGTTGGAGCATGAAGATTTTGAATGTCCAACTTGTCAAGTAAGGAATTAAAAGAAGTATATCCTAAAGCTTTAGTGAAAATGTCTGAGTTATATACGAGTGGAAACATACGAAGGTTGAATATGACCACTAATAACCTTATCACGAACAATGTGGCAATCTACTTCAATGCGTTTAGTACGATCGTGGAACACATGATTTTTGGAATATGAAGAGCAACCTAACTATCACAATAGAGTTGGATAGGCATAGAATGATTGATATCAAGACTAGATAGAACACTTTTCATCCACTTAAGTTCATTGGTTGTATTGGCCATCGAGCAATACTTAGCTTCAGCTGATGAACGAGACACAGTTTGATGCTTCTTTGTCTTCCAAGAGATAGGAGAATGACCCAAAAATATAATCCATCTAGTGAGGGAACATCGAGTAAGAGGACAAGCAGCCCAATCAGCATCACACCACCCATATAGTCGCATATCACATTTTCTATCCAAGAATATTCCTTATCCTGGATTGCCTTTAACGAATCGCACCACACATAAAGCAGCAAATCAAATGATTTGAGTGTGGTTGATGCATGAATTGAGATAAAATATGAACGTTGTATGCAAGCTTTGATTGTGTAAAACAAAGATAAATAAGTCGTCCAACTAGCCTTCGATACTTTTCTGGATCATTAAGAACATCCTCTGTGGCTAAACCAATATTATGATTTTGTTCCAATGGAGTTTTCGTGGGTTTGGCTCCAAAGTATATTTTCGTTGACAAAAAAAAGTTCCAGTAGGTGATATGGCCACTTCCACTCCCAAGAAATATTTTAATGTGCCTAAGTCTTTCATATGAAAACAACTACTCAAGTAATTCTTAAAATGTTGAACAGAAGTATAACTATTTCCACAAATAATCAAGTCATCAACATAAACAAGAACCACAAGTTGAATACCTCGATCATTTAATGTGAATAAAGAGTAATCTGAATAAGATTGATTAAATTCATACTCCTTGAGTGCAGTGGAAAACATGCTAAACCAAAAATGAGAAGCTTGTTTAAGACCATATAATGATTTGCTTAATTTGCATACCATACCTGGTTGACAAACGTGGAAACTAGGAGGTAATTTCATGTACACTTCTTCTTGTAACTCGTCATGAAGAAACACATTATGAACATTCATTTGGTGAAGTTCCCACCCTCTTGCAACAACAACAGCCAAAACAATTTGGACTGTAACCATTTTCGCTACTAGTGTGAATGTTTTTGTGTAATCGATTCCTTCAACTTGATGATTTCCAAGAATGACTAAGTGAGCTTTATACCGTTCTATTTGACCGTCAGAATGATAGTTAATCTTGTATACCCACTTGCATCCCAAAGCCTTCTTATTTGTTGGAAGAGCACATACTGTCCATGTTTGATTATCCTCAAGAGCTTGAATTTCCTCTTGCATAGCTGAACACCACTTAGCATCTTTCACATCCTCTAAGAACGTCCTGGGTTCTTTGTCAATAGTCATGGCTGCAATGAACTTGCGATGCTGCATAGAAAACTTGTCACAACTCATATATTGTGTTATAGGATAGAGCGCACCTGAGTTTGGCCGAGGAGAGAGTGAACGAGTAGTTGGGCTCAAAGTTTGGACAATGTAAGTCATGTAGTCTTGAAGTTTCACACAAGGTATTCTGATTCGTTTCCCTCGTCCAAGTTCCTCATTATTTACTTCAATTTCATTTCCATTTATTTGCATTTCATTAGTTTGTGCGTTTCTCACTTCGGAACCCCCCTCACTTCAACAACCCTTTCATCGTTGGTCAACTCAACATCGTCCACTTTCTCGTCATGTGTACTATCATCGTCAACACCAAGTACAGGTTCCAATGGCTTGATCATAGTTCCCATACAAGTTGGCAAGACAAAAGGAAATTCATTCTCAAAAAATTAACATCTCTTGACACAAATATTTATTCTCATCTAGATCATACAATTTCCAACATTTCTTGCCTAGTTCATATCCCACAAAGACACACCTTTTACTTCAGCTAGCAAATTTATCACCTTTTCTTCCTTGATCATGAGCGTAACATAAGGATCCAAACACCTTCAAGTGGTCATATAAAGGTGGCTTCCCATTAAGCACCTCATAAGGAGACTTTCCACCTAACAATGGCGTAGGGGTTCTATTTATCAGATAACTAGTAGTTAAAACACACTCACGCTAGAAAGAAATTGGCAAGTTACCTTGAAATCTTAATGCTCGTGAAACATTAAGAATATGCCTATGTTTTTGTTTAACTCGACAATTTTGTTGGGGCATTCTAGTGCAAGATGTCTGAAATACAATCCCACGTTCAAGAAATTTCATTTGCAAACATGTGAATTCTATTCCATTATCACTCCGAATTATCTTAATTCACTTATCATATTGTCTCTCTACCAAAGCAATAAAATGCAACAAAACATGTGAAACTTCGTTCTTATCAATTAACAAATAAATCCAAATAGCTCGAGAAAAATTGTCTACTATAGTTGAAAAATAATAAGCACCACAAGAAGATGGAGTTCTATAAGGTCCCCACAAATCATAATGAATTAATTCAAAACTATTAGAAGCTTTACGATTGCTCAAAGAAAAACTTTCTCTAGTTTTTTTGCCCTTTAATAAACACACAAGCTTTATTCCCTATCATATTGCTCTTATTGCTAGCATTCGAGATCATCTAAGTAATTTGCAATGAAGGATGCCCCATCCATTTGTGCCAAAGATCGAACATAGAAACTTCTATCACCTTGAAAACTTTCTCATGATGAATCCCTCTAAAATAATAGAGCCAATTTCTTTGTTCACCCACAATCAGCGTCCTCAAAGTGCGATCTTGCATAACACATAAAGAGTTAGTGAATTGGACTACATAATTTGTATCATCTATTAATTGCGACACTGATATCAAATTGCAATTCAAACTAGGCACCTATAAAATTTTGCTAATTTTCTGTCCTCTTTCAAGGATCACATCTCCTTTTTTAGTTGCAACAGCGTCCTTTCTGTTTGGCAATCCCACAGGACATCCCTGCACAATTTTTGTTCTATGCAGAAGCCCTAAATTTCCAATCATGTGATTAGAGGCTCCTGTATCAATAATCCACGTTGTTTCTTTACCTGACATTCTTTCAGTTGTGTTTCCCTTGTGATTGTTCAAGAGATCTACCAAAGTTTGCCACTGTTCATTACTCAAACCCATTAGCCCTCCTTTATTTACATTTGTTACCTTCATGGATGTCCCTCCATTGGAAGTTTGAGCAACATTGGCACGTATAGTGTGACACCCTTACTACCCCAACACATATATTGTAATAATGAAAACTTACAAATAAATTTTTCAATTTCGGTAAAAGGGTTCACATGAGAATCTTCAAAATTATTCTTCAATAACCACAATAATAAAAATGAAACGCAAGAGTTTACAAATTGTTTTCAAAAATAACATTTACAATTTCAAATCCATATAAAAACCTATGTTATAAAAATCCTCTGCCCCGATGTCACAATATCAGAGCATCCCCACAATTCAACTGTTGACATTCTAGATGCCACTCGAAGTCAGATCTTCTCACCTAAAACATCCACAATTTATACGGTGAGAAAAGAAAATACCTATATGCAAAGCACATACAAACACATCACAAATGTAATCTCATCATAACTCGTTGCTTAATAAAATATTTACAAGCATTCATAAATATATCATGATTTATCAATCATTCATCATCTTCACATCTCAATTCACAATTACATCAATCCATCACAATCCACATAAGTCTTACAATTAACACTATGTCAAGGCCACGCCACATCTGACACAAGTGATACTGGTTAATTGCCTCACTCATCTCACACCATGCCAAGGGCACGCTCGTCCTCGTAGCATCACTTACCCAAGGTTCGTCTCATCCCTGGTCATTAGTGTGAGGAACCACAGTCACATTACAATCCACACAATCTCTTGCAATTAACCCTATGCCAGGGCTGCCATATTTGACATAAGTGATGCGTGTTAATTGCCTCACTCATCCCACACTATATATGTCAGGGGCACGCTCGTCCTTGAAGCATCACTACTCAAGGTTCGTCTCATCCCTGGTCATTAGTGTGAGGTACGACAATCACAATCATAATCATCCACACAACATCTCATCTCATATTTCAATTCCATGCACAATTCCATATCACATATATAACAGATAAGTCCAACAAAATAAGGGTTTACACACCCCTCAAGCAATTCACATCTAGATCATCAATTCTTATCAATTAATATAACAATAACATTCATAAATTAATAAAATAATCAATAGAATTATCAATTAATATAATTTTAACATAAACAGTAAAATCCCCAATTATTCCAATACCAAACTCACAGACACTTTTCTACAGTTTCGTTCTCTCTCCCAAACCATCATTCTTACAAATTAAATATGTATTTCTAGTCCTCAACACATACAGAATCTAATGGGATTATCAATTTCTCAAACAGAAATAATTCAATTTTTCCAAAACCTAACTTACAAGCACTTTTCTATAATTTCGTTCTCTCTCCCAGAGCATCATTTTTACAAATAAAATATATATTCATAATCCTAAATTCATACAGAATCTAATGAGACCAATAATTCTCCAAACAGAAATAATTATAAAATTTATCATAATCCTAAGGGTTCTTCCTCTACCCAATTCCCTCATGTAACTCTACATATAAAAAATCCCCTTTTCCCCCGTACCTGGATATGTAGAAGCTGAACCTACACAAGATCTGGTTGGTCTCCCTCGCTAGGTTCCCCTCGGTCTAAAGCAGAAAGTAGAGAGAAAAGAAGAGAGAGCAGAAGAAAAAAAATCAGAAAATAAGAGGTGTGCTTTTTTGGGAGTGGCAGAGAGCTCAATTTATAGGCATCAGTCTTCGCCGGAACGACCCATTCTGGACCCTTAAATCATGGGTAAAAATCACACCCAGAACGACCCGTTCTCAAACCAGAACGGCTCATTCTGGTGTGCATTTATTACTCACAACTGCCATAGCCCGTTCCAAGCCCGTTCCCACTTAAAGTTTAAGGTAGTTTTTAATAGTCCGGAACGGCCCGTTCCAACTTGAGAACGGCCCGTTCTGGGCTATTAACTCACATACAATTTGGTAGTTTGGAATGACTCGTTCCAATTCCGGAACAGCCCATTCCAAGCTACTAAATCACCCCCATACTTTTATAAAATTACCAAAATACCCTTAATAAAAATAAATAAAAATTGGGGTGTTACATATAGTCATGCCTTCCCCACGACCTTGATGTCCACTTCGTGTTTGTTATTGTTGTCCTTTCCCATGTCCAATTATCTTTGTTTCATGACGAGGCCTCTCTCCCCACCAATCTGGATACCCAACCAACTGGAAACAATTTGTTGCATCATGTCCCGCTTTATTACAGTTTAAATAGAACATGACTTTCTCCCTTCCATCACCTCATCCTTTCGTTCTCCCTGCTGTTTGTACTACCAATCCAACAACTTCTGCTCGCTTGTCTTTACTTCTCGCAATAGTATTCATTCGTTCTTCTTGAACCAATGTAGCGTACACCCGATTCAAAGATGGAAATGGGTCAGTAGCCAAAAGATTTGAACGTACTTTGCCATAAAGAGAGTCATCTAATCTTTTCTTTTTCTCTATGCTTCTCCAATTTTGTTACGATATCACATTTGCAGTTCCCACATGTGCAGGTCAGTATCTGTTTATAGTTTGCTAGTTCATCCCACAGTGTTTTGAGCTTTCCATAGTAGTTTACCATGGTCATCCTGCCTTGCTTGCATTCGACTAGTTCTATTTTCAATTGTTGAATTCTGGGCCCATTGACAATTGAGAACCGTTCTTTAATATCTTCCCACAATTCCTTTGAAGTCTCCATGTATGAAATTGTAGAACGCAAGGTTGGTTCAATGGTATTCAAAATCCATGACACCAACATTGACTGCATAGTCCACCAATCTTCCAATTCAATTTTTCCTAATCCGGGTTGTTCAATGGTGTCGTCTATAAAACCCCACTTTCATCGTGCTCGTAGAGAGGTTTTGATAGCCTTGGACCATTCTTCATAGTTCTCACCCTTCAATGGAACTTGGGTGATTGCATTTCCTAGGTTATCGCTCAAACTTAGATCATACGGTGATGACATCTTCTCTTTTGTCTATGGTTTTCTTTCTTCACCATGCACTTCTCGATTTTCTGCCATTGCTCTTTCTTTGAGTTTTCTCCATTGGTCAAAAACTAAAAGCTCTTGATACCATAAAGAATTTTGAAAAACGTAAGTGTTTCTCTCTCTGTCTTTTTCACTGCCATATGATTAGATGTGTATCACATATATACAAGAGGTATTAACCACCCTTGCTGTCATCTTTCCTAAAAATCAACACAACTAATATCTATACATATCAAGGCTAACAAAATAATCCCTAAAATAAAGGATATAATCTAAAAGTGATTAGAAACAAATCAATCAAATTGATTCCTATTCTCTTTAACTTACATATTAAAAAGATACTAAATATAACATTTTGGGTTCTAGGGGTTAGGTTCTATCTCAAAACCTTTGAAGATTTATGACTTTCTCTTCTTCTTCTTCTTCTTCTAGATCCCTTGAGCTTGTAGAATAATTGTTGATCGGCTTAAGTTGGTGACTCAGGGTTGTTTGGAGTCAAGAATTTGA